AAGAAGAAAGAAGTACTTCTGAAGAAGAAAGAAATACTTCTGAATAAGAAAGAAGTACTTCTGAAGATCACATGGTTGTAATTGGTCCCATTTATGGTTGCAATTCGCTCCGAACGGTTGGAATTGGGACCAGTCGGTTGTAATTCGTCCCATTTCGGGGGGGAGGGGCGGGGGGAGGAGGAGGGAAGGAGTTTAGGGAGAGAGGGAGGAGGGGGAGGGGAGAGAGGCAGGCCGGAGAAACGCGAGGAGCCACAACCACAGATGGCCCCTCCTCCTCCTCCTCCTCCTCCTCCTCCTCCTCCTCCTCCTCCTCCTCCTCCTCCTCCTCCGCCTCCTCGCGATCCGTCTGGCCCTTATGGGCCGCCAGGCATAGCAGAAAACCGAAACCCCGACACAAACTGAATCCATAGTTTCTCTGGTCTGGCTCGCTGCCTCTGCTGCGTTGTTTTCGTGCTGCGGAGCGGGGGGCTTCTTGCCGCAGCGGGTGTGCCTGGCTGGCGGGCGCCAGTCATTGTGACGCCCTTGGCAGCGGCTGGGGACGCAAGTTTAGATGAGGCGGAGGGACGAACAGGATGGAGGAGGAGGAGGATGCTGACGATGTTGACGATGCTGACGATGAGGGAGGAGAGTATGCAGATGATAGGTGGGCACCGGGAAAGGGTGAGAGAGGAGGAGGCTGGGGAAAGGAGGGATGACTGCAGAGGAAGGAGGGGGAGCATAAGAGGGAACACATGCCCCTCACCCCTACTTGTCCTGGCCGTCATTACCGCCTGATCATTATCCCTCCTCGTGCTTGCCCTCTTCCCGCCTCCTAGATCGTTTGCTGCATATTCATTCCTCGTCCCCTCGTCCGCGTCTTCCGCCTCCTCTTCCTGCTCCTCCCCTGCCCCTACCCCCCCTCCTGCTCCTTCTCTCCCTCCGCATCCCGCTTCTCAGGGCAAAACATCGTCAATCTGGGGAAGGAGGAGTGATAGAAGTAGGGGGAGAGACAGGGCAGGAGAGGAGGAGGAGGAGCGGGATGAGGAGCCGGAGGCGGAGCAGGATATTGTTAAAGCAAAGCGACGATGAGGGTTCCTCGTCCTTCCCCCCCCCCGTGCGCCTTGGCCTCGTCCGCCCTAGGCAAAACATTGACCCTGGATCCTCGAAACCCGATCACCCCTCTCTTCTCGCCCTCCTCCCTTCTCTTCCCCAAGGTCCACTTCGATCCGATCGATCCCGTTCGAGATGTGGTTCGACCGGCTCGAGCCGATCCGATTCCAGTATCCCGGCGATTTGGATCGGTGATTCTTGCGTGAGTGTTGGTGTGCATGCTGGCGCGGCCGACATTACTCGATTCCGACACTCTGTGCCGACGCGGCCCGATCCGACGCACATTCCGGTTCGATCCGATTTCCCGACTCGATGGTGATGGTTCGAGCCTCCCTCAATTGCATCTTCAATGGGTGGTGCTCAAGGGTTAAGCACCATACCATACCCCGAGTGCCCATTCATCGCCGATACGGTCGCGATAGCCCACCCCGCCCAGGAACGTTTCGATTCGTTATCGGGGGTCTATGAGAGTTCAATCCACAATGTATCGTTGATTCCAGGTGGATGCTTCACCCCCTGAGCTGGTCCGCCCCATCGTTGCTTCTCACTCCCTCCGCGCCGCCTTCGCTTCCCCCTGCTTGTCCAGGCTACCCTCACGAAAACGTTCGAGGACCTCGATAAGGAGATCCTGCGGGGGCAGCCGGCCATCCACGACGGCTGCGGGGGCGCCGTGGCCCTGTTGATTGGAAACATGCTCTTCACAGGCTGCTTCCGAGGGGGGCGGCAGGAGGAAAGCAGGCAGCTCCAGGAATTAGATAAATCGCGGCTGAGCGTTTCAGAACGCTCTCCGAGCGTCCTCAGAGTCGCCAGAGCGCAGAGGTCTTTGATTAATCCTGACCTGGTCTTGTCCGATCGTGGCTTCGTTTGATAATGATGATGTGAGAGGAGAAGGATAGATCACGTTTCGATCCGAACAATCCGATTTGAGATCGATTCTGGCTGGCCGCATCCAATTCGATTCCCATATTACGACGGTGCGATGCGCCCCGATGCTCGCGTGAATGGTGGTGTGCATCCTGGCGTGGCCGATCCGATTCGATTCCCACTCCGACTCCGTGCCGATGCATCCCGATCCGGCGATCATTTCGACCCAATGCGACTTCACGATCCGATGTAGACTGATTCTGTCTATGATCCGAGGATCGAGAATGTAGCTTTTTGTATTCGGTTCTTGGTTCAGCTGTCCCTGACCTTGAGGTTTTTGGATGTCCTGGGGGGTCTCCGGAGAGGCCCGTGCATTCCCCAGAAGGTAAAACGTCAACGAATGAGTACATTTGGTTAGTCGAACCCCCTCCAAACAAACTATTCTTCATCCGCAGGGGTCTGCGGGAAGTGCAGCATCGTCATGAGCGAGTGCTCGACAGAGAAGGGCAAGACGCTGGTGAAGGCTGACTCGATGGGCCGTAACCAGGCAGCGGCCCGCCGCGGTCGCGCTGGGCCTCGCTGATGAAGGAGGAAGTGGCCAAGCATCGGAACGATCGAAATGGGTACGGAGAGATCTGGGACGAAGACCGACAGCAGTTCCAGTCCATTTTGAACAGGATTGGCTGTCTGTGTCGCTGCGTGCGTTGTCCATTTGAGACAGGAGCTCGCCTGTCCAACAGCAGCCCGTATCTGTATTGGGACAAGATTTGTTGGGCATCGTACCCATTTATTCCGTACCCATTGCGGGTCAGATAAGCCCGAGGCCCTCACCATGTTTTTTTTTTCGATTCTCGATCATTGAGGATTGGCTTGCGTATTTGTAAGTTTGATCGATTGAATTTTCGATTATAAGGAAATGTATTGTTGATCCCCCTCCCTCTGGTGCACTTTGATTTTTTCTATTGAAGTGCTCCTCCCGGGTTCGCACCCTGTTTTTTTAACAAGGGGAAGTCTGGCGCTTCAGACTGCGTTGCTGGCCTCCGGTTTGCCACGGCAGCGGCTGCCGCCTGATACTTCTTGACAATGCATTCGCGCCCTCGCGCGGGATTGTCCGCCTCAGAGCTTACGCAGGGATCTCGCGCTCGCGTGGGGTTTTTCCTCGATGGATTCCAGAGGCTCACGCCGTTTTTCAAGGGATAAAGTCTACGGCCGAGGCCTTTTGGGGCGTCTTGGGGACACTTCGGGGGCCTATAGAGGGGGCCTTTCGAGGCCTCGTAAGGGGTTTCTTGGGCGTGCCATCTTGGAGCGATATTTGTGGCCTCTTTAAGTCGTCTCGGATTTCCGACCCCAGGGCAGAGGGAAAGCGGGAGTGGAACAGCCAATCCAATCATCTCACACGATTTTGCACCCCTGGCAAGCGGGGTTCGACGAATTCAGACGCCGCGCTCTCGACAGTCAGGGGTCAAGCTCTCGGTCTGGCCACATTTGTATTTGGGAATCGCGCAATCGCTCGAGACGTCCGTGCGATTCATGGAGGACTCACGCTTCAGCGACCCGCCCGCCCGACCCGCGCGTTTGGTTGTGTCGCTTGTTTGTCTGCTCCTCACGCACCCTCCTACTGATCTCTCGTGGTCCATCCTTCTCCCTCACCCTTGTCCCTTCCCTCCTGACTCCCTTCCCCTGTTTTAAGGGTTGCGCAAAGTACGCGTGGCAGGTACGAAAAATAGAGCCCCAAGTGGGGCACGATCGACGGCGAAAAGGGCGGGTATCAACGGCTTCGGGCGTACATGTTGAGTGGCAGGGGGGCGGATAAGAACCAACAGCTTCAAGATTAGTTGTTGCTGTTGTGGAATCATTGTTGTTGATGCCCCCCTCTGGTGTGCCTGGTGGTTTTTCAAGTACAAGTGTTCCTCCCAGGGCTGGACCTCTGCCTCCAGTTTACATCAACAGCAGGAATTGTTCCCGCTTGATAGTGCTTCACAAGAAATTCAGAATTGCCCTTTCGCGCGGGACGCTCTCACATGTTACCAAGCAATCGCGCTCTCGCGTAATCCCATGCCCCGTGTGATCGGGCATCCCCCATTCCACCTGAGAGCTGACTTTGCCTGGCCAAGACAGTTTTGACCGGGGGAGGAGATGGGCGGCGAGGCCGAAGCTCATCACCGACAGGGAAAGTACGAATGGAAGTTGCTATGCTGTTGTGTGGTATGTCCACAACACCACGAACGTGCTGCAGAGTAATGAGGGTCTCATCATGTCAGCTTTCCTACGTCACAAGGGCGTCGCGGGGACATGCGATTCTCATACTTTCAGTTTTCTTTAGTTACGACCGTGTGGCGGGGCCATTCCGATTCTCACCATGTTGGACTATCCTAATCACGACCGCGTGGCAGGGCCATGGGGATCTCACAATTTCAGTTCCCTCACGTCACGAACGCGTTGCAGGGCCATTCGGATCCTCACCATTTCAGATTTCCCAAGTCACGAACGTGTGGCGGTGGCCTGGGATTTTCACCATTTTGCCCAAGTTAGCTTCTCACTATTTCAGTTTGTCCAAGTCGCGACCGTGTTGCTGGGCCATGCGATGTTACACTTCAGTTCCCCCAGGTCACGAACGCGTGGCAAGCCGTTTTGCTGTTCACGCGTGGTAGGGCTTTGGAACTCATTCGTTTTATTTCCCCAAGCCACGAACGAGTAGCAGGGCCGTTGGAATTCTCACCGTTTGAGTTTCCCAAGGCACGACCGCGTGGCAGGGTCATTTGGCTTCTCATGGGTTCAGCTTTCCCAAGTCACGAACGTGCGACAAAACCATTGGTATCCTCACCATTTCAGCTTTGCCAAGTCATGGCCGTGTGCATGTGCCATGGGAGTCTCATTCGCTCAGCTTTCCCAAGTCGCGAACGTGTGCCGTAGCCAGTGGATTTTCATTACTTCAGCTGTCCCAAATCCCGACGCTGTAGCAAAGCTACGGTATTCTCACCATTTCAGATATCCCAAATCCCGAATGCGTGGCTGGGTATTTTTTTACACGAAAAAATCAAAACATCAGGTCCACACGTCACGATCGTGCAGCTCCTCCCCCCTCCCCCTTTTGACTACCCCGCAAACCCATTTTCCCAGGTAGCTGTTCGAGGCCCGAGCTCTCGGAAGCCGCTACAGCGCGTCGGAACCGTTCCACGCCACCGAGCGCGTCGTTTTCCGAGGACCATGCCGCCGAGAAGGCGCCGGCCGAGGCCCAGAACAGCGAGTCCAGCAAGCTCCTCGCCAAGCAGGTCAAGCAGAACTATGTCTTCATCCGCTTGATGGGCTACCTCGTCGGGAAAGCCCGCATCACCGCGATGCGCCATTGCCAGACGAACGGCGCGGCAACGGGCGTTTCGAGGATGATGGGCAGCGCTCTCAACTGCACATGCGTCCTGTGGTCCAAGAGCGTCCGATGTGCCATCCTCGCCATGACGTGCCAGAAGGGCAAAGTCGACGCCGTCGAGCACGCTGGCATCTTCTCCGAAATGGACGGCCGCGGCCGCGACATAGTCGCCGCCATCTTCCGGACGACGCACGTCGAGAAGTCCGAGGTGTTGTTCGACGCCTTCGACGGCGACGACCAGAAAATCGACCAGCTCTTCGAATTGCCGGCAAGCTTCTGGCCTGCGCTGCTGGGAAGCGCCGAAAAGAACGATGCCGATATTGGCGCCGAGAACGTGGCCAAGCCGCGCTGTTGGAGTTTCTTCGGGCGCACGAACGCCAGGCATCAGGAGCAAGGGCGTCTGAGTGGGCGTCGAGCTTCCGGATAATTGTTTCCCGTAGCCTTTGCGGCTGAAGGTTTCGGGTCCCAGGCCAGGGCGGCTTCTGCAGCGAGGCCCCGCGGAGCGGGGCGCCGACGAAGCAGACAAGCCCCCGGGCCCTCTGCGGGCCCCCGCTCGAGACCCCTGGGCGCCGAGCGCCCGCGGGAAGCTGCGCGCTCTGCCTTGCGGAACCCCTCCTCTGCGGTGAGCTTCTACAAGGACCTCGAGGCTGAGAGATACGAGGATGTTCGGGCCGAGAAGGGGCCGCTCCTGGCCGCTGCACCTCGCCGAGCGCGCGCTGGGGGAACGGCCCGGGGCCCGTCCCCCCTCCAGTCGCCCCCCTTCACCCCTTCCCCTTTGCCTCCCGCGCCAAAGCAAAAACTGTCGATCCCCCGGCTGCATTATCGGTGGATGCCGCCCACCGTGGGCCCTCGCGCGCGCGGCATGAGCCCGCGCGCGCGCGTGTTCATGTCCGATGCTTCACCGACCCGCCCGCTCGACCTGGCCGCCTGGGCCCGCCTTCCCCGCCCGCCCGTTCGGATTTTCCAGCTGGATCAGCCCGTCTGGTTCTGCTACGCGGTCGTTGCTCCTAGCCCCCTTCTCCTGCTATTCTTTTTCGCGATCCACCCCTTCCCCCTTTCATCCGTCATCCTCTTCCATGTTTTAGGGGTTGCGCTAAATTCGCGCGGCAGGGGGGGGAAATATACCCCTGGGGGTGTGCACGGTCGAAGACGAAACGGGCGGGTACTGGAGGTTTGGGGTGTACGTGTTGAATGGCACGCAAGCAGGTACGGATGAACAATATGAGATTGATTGTTGTTGGTATTGAGCGCGACGAGGCCCCCAGGGGATCCCAATTGGCCAAAGTAGGCCCGATCATGGGTGCCCCAAGAAAGTGCAAAAAATGTTCATGCAAGATCACTTTGTGATCTAGCGAAAGAGCGACGGGCGGGAGGCGGGGGAAGACGAATGGGGAAGGGGACGACGCCACAGAGTTCGCCGCCGCGGAGCCCGACGCAGCTTTGGCCTCGACGAGTTCCCATGCCGTTGCGAAACAGAGGCTTTCGCTCAAGAGGATGACGCATGTCTCTGGGCATCGCTCGGAAGCGTGCCTTTTTTCTTCTTGGCGCGGACCATCAATAGATGATATTGCTGAACATTAGCAGTGGGAGTGGACGTCCGGGCGATGGCAATGTCCACCTCCGACAGAAGATCCCCAGGAGACCCTTGCCGAAAAGTCTTCCCACATTGGCGCGCGGCTTGCGGGTTCTTGCGCAGGGGCGAGCAACCGTTGTACGTGTACGGATGTGTTTTCTACGTTTTCCAACGGGGTATTTGGTTTCGGCCGTCGGCGGGTTTCGAACGTGTTCGGTTGCTGCCAGTCGTTTTGCATCCTATTTCCACCGAGGGACGAGGAGAAAAAGAAGGGCATGATGAGTGGAAGAGGAAGCAAAAGGAAATGACGAGTGGAAGGGGGGGTGGGGGGAGACAGATAGCGAAGAAACTGGAGCGAATGGAGGGGGAGGATGAAGATGATAGGGGGATGCGCGGGAAGGAAGACAGAACCGATGATTCAGCGGAGAGTCGCAGGCCATTAGAAGATTTGTTTCCCCGTCCACCCCCTATGCATCTTCGTCTCCTCCCTCATGTGTGTTTCTCCCTGCCAATCTCCATCGGGATGGGCGCTAGTGCAGGTCGATAAATTCGGTGGCGTTCAAGCGGCGGCCCAGGGGCCCGCGCCTCTTGAATCCGGGCCCCGTCA